CGTTATTTATATGAGTCTATATGTACTAACTTCTGATAGAAAAATACCTCCTTGCCCTTCGATGCTTGAACGCCGCATTAGCCATAGATCCCGATCATCCTGCAGTCCACGAACAGGTTGTCCGGTTCCGCCAAATTCTCAATGAGAAGCTTGGATCTCTGCCTCCCAAGATTGTCGAAGTTTTGAAGTCTGGATTCACTGCCATAGACGCCTCGGTAGACCTTAAGAAGTTCAACACCGACTTCCAACAGAAGCATAAAGATAGCGCGGAACATGTTATCTCCGCCTTCAAGATAGAGAGGCTGCTAGGAGAAGATAAGTCTAAGAGCGAGAAGGATCTCGCGGGAGTGCTCAATCTGAAGGATGTTCAGTACGACCAAGCAGCCGAGGCCCTAGCTCTCTTAGAGCAATGGCGTAGTGGTGAGGCTGAAGCTTTTAAGAAGGCGGCTCACGCGAAGTGGCCGGAGGTTACTGCATTTGCGTGATAGAATCTCGAAAATGGGGCACGCTGTGTTATGGAACGATCGGCATTTACCTTCCTCCTGTCATCTCTCCATTATTTCATCTATCATCGGACCTCTTTCACAAAAGCATGAGGGGGGCCGGGGCGACGGACAGTGTATTGCATCTTATTCCCGGTAGGACAGGGAAGGTGTAAGTATATCAAGGCTTGCATAATCCCGCACTGTGCATGGACCGGGGAGGGAAGATTCACAAAAAAATAAAAGGGGAATAGACAGCGGGTTTGCGCTGTGTTACATGTACCGGGGTGTAGCTAGTGGTGCTTCCCAAAAGGGGATCGACAAATCAGCACAGAAAATGAGAAAGTGGTTGACTAAACATTTAATCATTTCCTCAAGGTATATGAGGTTCACTGACAGCTTAGTAGATATAGCATCACATGTTCTTAGGTTCTCTTGCCAGTTGTCGTATCAAAGGTAAGTTTGATTTCTTTTTCATAGTGATAACAAACCTACCTACTTATCATGCAGCGTTCCTCACCTGAAAAAGCAATACTTAGGCCTATGGAAGAGCCAATGAGTCATTCGGAGATAATGCGAAGATCCAATAGCATTGTAATTGGCTTTTACCAGGCTATCGTATTGTGATAGATCACACCTCTACGGTGGGTACCTCTATCACATCTGCATATTGTGTTTTCACATCACTTAACGCAGTGAATATGCACATCCGACAGGCAATAACACACGGGTACACCATTCATTTTTCACATCATCTATAGAGGATCGAAAAATTCTTTACACTTTCCTCACACATAAAGACCAACTACGGATCTCAACTTCTGTGGTCCTATTCTATCGTCGACTTTGATCAATACGGATAACACCAAAGCTACTTGATCATACAATCCAAGATGGGGACTCGAAACTTGATTTGCATCCGGGTCAATAAACAATGGTATGTTATATTCTCCTGGGATCGAATTGGTATATTCTGATAGCTTTTTCCTCTAAGGGTCGTCGCGAAGTATTGCCAGTGGGATGGTTATCCCACTGGCCAAGGTGTTATCTTGTTCAATTTCCTACACGTCGAAGGGAACCTCGCGCGTTTACGAGCAGGCTTGGATTATATCTACGAGACGACCAAAGAAGACAGGGAGAAGATCCAAGAAGTGGCCGAAGCCGAAGTGGCACGGCTTAAAGCTTTGGATCGCCAGGGTCTCTATAACTATCTAGCTCCACTTATGTCTAAATTCCCTCTAGCGAAGAAGCCTGAAGATCTGGAGGATTATCAGATTGAGCACTACTTCTTTGACGCCGACAGACAAAACGAACTATTATTCCCCTCCTTGTCGAGATCTACCGGCGGTAATATTCTTCAGTTAATCGCGAATGCCACAGCCGAGCATAAACTGCCAATCATGTCAGAGCTAGAGTTCGCAGCCGGTACGCCCCATGCAACCCTCTCAATAACCTGACCGTACTAACAACCCGGCGACATAGACTGGTTTTCTTGTGAATGGTATTTGGGCCAAGCAAATTGACTAGTTGTTATTTTATTTCTTACTCATTATAGGGCTTATATCGTCGACCTGGATGATGAGCAGCTAAAAGTCTTCGGATACAGGGAACCTAATCATGAGGGCCACCCCTTTGAGAAGGTTGTCGAAGTTGGCGATGATGTCCCCAAGTTCGTCGCGAGTTTCACATTCTCGGAACTCCGTAGCTTGGGCAGGAGACAATTCATAGCGCGTGCAAAGGATATCGAAAGAGAAGCGCAGGATACTATGGAAGAGCACATCGTTGGTGAAGGTGATAGTAGTTGGGACGATTATACTGAGGATGATGATGCCGACGAAGAAGATGCTAACGGGCACAACGTCAATGGGGACAGCGCTGATGCTGTTGCATCGCGAATTGACTAGGTGCACCTGGACTGAAAAGCTCGTGAGTGGAATAGGGAGAAGCACTCGAGAAGAAATTGGATAACTAGGGCTTCTGCACGTTCTCTTGGTGCTTATATAGGAGTACAGACTCCGGCCTCTCTTTAACAAATAGATGAAAAGTAGTAGTGGCTTATGAACAAGACTTGAGCAATCATTTTAACTTATTCAATGCCTAATTCCAGCATGTTTTTAGTTGAAGTCCAGCACGACACAGCTCAGCATGCTCAGTGCTCAATATCAGCCGGTGCGACTAAGGGTCATTCTGGTTTCATATCCACGGCAGTTTCCTCATGACAGTGGGGCCCGTATCTAGAACGACGACAGTGGAGGAAATTATGGACTAGGTAGGTAGGCTATTCTTCAGAAAAAAATTCGTTCTACATGGTCTGATGAATTGTAATACCTGTCTAATATGAACAGGAGGACCTCCAGGCATGGCCTTTAGTCAGTGAAAGGTACGAGGACCGCCAGAGATCAATTGAATATACTAATAGTAGATAGGAATCCAAATGTGCCTACCTACTTATCTATACCTTAAATTACATAACAAATTTATCTTCGACGGTACCTAGGTAGGTAACTAATTAACACGTTTGAATAACCAGTATCCAACCTCTCAAGTCTCTCTGGGAGGTGGTGACACTCCTGCGACGAATTTCTTGATCATTTACAAATACCAAGTGTCTCTCGGGATGCAAAAGGAGAGATGAAAATTCCCTCAGAAGAGTACTTGGTATTAAGGTAGCTCCGACATGACCTGTAGATCTGTAACTGCGACTATGGCTGTCACACCTTTCATATAAAGTATGATAACTGTAGATGACTGCCTACGAAAGATGCTATGAAGGCCGAATAGCCATTTGATGCATTCTTCGCATCAATTCGTGGATACTCGGATTCCCTACGAAAAGGTTTCTTTCGCCGTTGTTTTCCTACAAGCAACTGCACAAGTGAAACTCGTCGATATTAGGATCCATTAACATCTTATACCTCTGAATTTCATGGGGGGCATCCCCGAAGAAAGACTCAGGCTGCTCACCCCAAACCAGCTCCCTTGGTTTATATTTGGCGGGCAAAGATTCCCCAGGCTGTCTCTTGAAAAGATACCTTAACAATTGGGCGTTCCTGGATTTTGTGTTAGGGCCCCATGGGTACATGAAATACCGTTTAATTCCTGGGAATGCTTGGTCGGACCAAAAAAGGTCTGCAAAGGCCTCGGGGTATCGTCGCTTCTGACAAGGACAGGCAGCAGGACAATCATGCCGGTAGTGGAAACCATCTGCACATGGTGCAATCACATTCTGTATACGAGAGCGAACTCCCCAGATAGTGCTTGAGCGATATCTGGCAGGCATATGGAACGCGCCTTCGTTACGGTGAATGTTGATGATAGGAGTATCCATGATCCGACTTGATTCAGACACGAATGTCACAGGCACCATACCCCATTTATCATCCTCCATACCCAATGTGTCGTTATCCATCGGCTGGAAGTCGAGACCCGCAGTAAATGTATCGTGCTCCAGACTGATATATACACACTTGTCATCTCTAGGAGATTCAATCATTTCGCCAATGTCAAGATAGTTCAGCTCTAGGCAATATGAGAGGGATGTCGGGATATCGAATAGAGATAGCTTTAAGTTGAAAAAATCCAGAGCGCAGGCTCGACTTTCTTTACTAACGACTAGCATTGGCGAGATTAGAGATTTAGAGGGAATGATGTCGAATTGTGAAGCGCCAAGTAAAACTATGCGTTCTGATGATTCCTGGAACAGTGCTGCTTCCCAGATGAGAAGTCGTGTTTCTCTGGTAAGATTATTTATTGGAAACGGCAACGCACTGGATTGTGCGGGATTCAGCTTCATATCTTGGGGAGCAGCCACGTTAGTGGGAGTAAGAGTTTCAGAACTTATAGGGGCTGGCGCAACGAGGGCTAGTTGACCAATCTTGAAAAAGAATGTAGGATGGAAGGGGAAATATGCTGCCTGGCAATGTATGTCTTGTAATTCTCTGAAGCCTTCAAAATTCTATATATAAGGTAACAGACCAAGTAGCAAATAGTAGGCAAGGCATCACAAATGGGTTTGTTAGGTAGCAATCAAACAGGTAACAACTTCTCTAATATTAAGTATTCGTATCAGATTGATTTGATTATTAATAGAAAAACATGTGTGCATACCCAGGTATCCGAACAAGCACAAGAAAGACAATTATAATTGTAACCCAAAATTAAATGCAAGGAAAAATAACTTACTGGATTCTACGATTCCATGTTGTCAACTATTAGCACTATTAACACGGCAAGCTTGAAAAATAAGGCCATAGGAATACAAATACTCCTTGAATATATCCCGCGACGAATTTTTCGTTCTCTCAAAGTAGGTACCTACTAAGTCTCAGCCTTTATTTATATATAAAAAAAAGAGTTGTGTGGATTATGAATTCTTTACCGTGATAATAATCGTGGAATGTGTTATGCAGTAATACCCCAAAAAGGGGTTAGGGGGTGAACATAGTGCGATTAGTATATAGGCCAAGTTTGCGTCGGAGTTAACACAACGAAACAACCCCACCTCCCAATTGTTAGTTGGGCTGCCTGGCGAAATGGTATCGCGTCACTTTCCGGTTAATCCCCTGGAACATGGTGAAGATTGCGGGTTCGAGTCCCGTGGTGGTCGCTTGCTTTTTGGGTTGCTTTCTAATTTGTGCCCCTCCCTTATACTCCTGTTTTTCTTTTGTACCTCTTCATCCACTGTAGTCACTCACACCTAGCTATTTGTTTTTGTTTTTTATTTTTCACATTACCCAATAGTTACTGCTTTTATCTTTGATGTTATTTCTCGCCATTTTAATAAGGTCTTTTGAAACCAATAGCCCAGGGCGGATATGAAAAAATTAAATTAGCATTTTCGCCAATTGGTAAGCTTCTATCTAGGAACCCTGCAACTGAACTTAAGTAGAAACAAGACCCCTAAAATTCACGTGCTGGGTTCACTGCTACAGGCTTATGTAGAGGCCTATACACTACCCGAGAGAACTAGGTAGGCCAATCAAACCTAATAAGCTAAGGGCTTACGAGCGCGCGAGAGAAGGTGATAATGCCAGTAATATTCAAAGGAATAATTGTAGTTGAATTAACAGTTCAATGAGTGTAGATTAGTGTAAGCTGAGCCTGCTGAGATATGGTGGGTACTATGGAGGTAGGGAAGTAGTCTAGTAGGATGAAGAACTGCTTTCCCGGGATTCCCGGGACTCGTCCGGTTCCACGAGTTCTCCGGCAATCCCTTTTGGCCTCGCTTTATAGCCCAATTCTAACAATCGATCTTCCAAAAGCTCCCACATATTCTCTGCCTCATCCTTAGGTGGTGCATTCCAGTAGTGACATTCTAGGTAGCCTTTATGGTCTAAGCATAATTCCAAACCCATACAAAGCGGACAAGCGAGATCTACACCGCAGCCCATAAATGCATCAAACATCTCTGCCACTCCTCCTGTGCAGCCTGGACAGATGAACCTGTCTTCTCCACAAACATCACACGCCCCATTCTCGATATGGGCAATAATGTCGGGGACGTTGAGGAAGGCATAGAGACAACGATTTTTCGACGTAGTGTCTAGGACAAAGTCGAAGGTGTTATCCGGGCCAGAGAGCCGGGACAGCTTAGGTAATTTGATGCTGAGTGTTTCGGTCGTAGATGACGTTGCACACTCTAGATACTTCTCAAAGTCCCAAACACTCTCTTGATCGGGTAGACTGCCAGCAGAAAATTCGTCTTCCTGACCATTGCGGGGATCAAACTCGTGTCGAAAACAGCGAAGAACTGTTACATCTGGGGATGTCGAGACGAGTTCGGCCTTTACTAAGCAAAACTTATCTTCGTTGTCCCCGCGTGCAAAATTCAAGATGATGGACCATATCTTGTTAGGCAAGCTGATACCGCCTTTGCTTCGAATACTGCTACCGTTGCGGGCAAGGAGCTGTCTCACATAGCGGGGACCTGACTTGATGATATTGAGCAGTAGCAGGCTGTCCTGTGTGACGACTTTTCGGGACACATCGGTAATTTGTACAGGCCTCATGTTTGACTTCGCAAATCGGATAGATGCTATAATAGGCGGGTAGTGTAGCACGCGATATTTGTATTTGAGGGAATTTGATGAAGATTGTAACTGACTTATAAGCAGAAGAATAGATGATCATATATCTAGGTGCCTAGCTGCCTAAAAAGCTTCTTTTCAGTTTGTGACACTCCGGCCCCGGACTGGCGTGTTTTTCCGCTAGTCACTTGACCATCGCCTACATGATGTCCGAGCTTCAGGGGGGTCATTCAATAAGTGAATGGGTTGGCACGGCCTATTGCAATAGCAGTCTCCATATGCTTGCGGATAGTAAGCGAACAAGATATAGCGCTCGTTAACATGCCTACCTACTGTATCCATCCATGGATCTTCATCCTCAAGCACCAGCGTCGGCCAACGCGCCACTAGATAACTGGCTAAAGCCTATCGTGATGCCTATGCCTAGGATTATTCTAATATCCATACATATGGATACTTACTAAGCTTGCAAAGAGGTTGAAGGCCACATAAGATAATTTCCACCGTCATATTGATGCTACCAGCTCCAGCGCCTTCGACCCCGCCTGCGACCAGCAATCAGCGTCTCCCTGCTAGAGCGCCACCGCAAAGACCACCACCTAGGACAAATGTGTTATATAAGATCCATCAATGACACTAAGGATCAGAGAGCCGGATAAAAGGGGATAGAAAAGTTCACTAATTCAACTCTTCTGCGATGGCAGGTATCATCACGATAACCAAGCTACTATTGAGGGTTCTCATAGGTGTAGGGGCCATTAGATTTTAAGGGGGGCGAGTCTCAGTCTGATAGCCGTGGGCGATCGTCATCCTAGCTTTCCAAATAAGGTAAGAGTAACCTCCTCAAGGTAGTTGACGGTTCGGATATGGAATTTGGGGTGATCTGCATACTGTTAGGACGATTGCTAATCGATTATTAGCTAAGACATCGAAAAGAGGCACGGTGTTCCGGATATGGATGAGGGTATCTACTCGTCTGTCGGACTATTTCATGATAAACGTTCCCTGGAATATGACTTGAAGATAGAGATTGGATTCTTCGTTCATTAATTTTGCATTGAGGTTGATCTGACCTAGCATTAGCAATTAGGCGTAGGCGACCATGACTACCTACAATAATAGATATCAACAGCTTCTGTACGATAAATACGCTCACTCCTGCGAACTTACAATAGCTTTACACCCTCTGACAACTATTTCGTAATCCTACTCGGATTCGTCGTTCTAAACTGATGGCTCAACGGCCGCCCCTATCATGATAGAATATCACACTATCGTGTATGGTTTTATACGGCCATGCCGTTCTCTATGATCTTCTTGCCCTTCGCGTCGTACGTCGTGACACTAAAAGCCTCGTAGTCGTTATCGTCTTTCAGATCATCTTCACCCATCTCTAGGCCCGCAAGACATCCCTGACCGACTTTTGGCCAGGCAGGAGGCACGGACTCTGTCGATGATTCTCTCGTAGCTTGGTTCTGGTTTTCCGTAGCGCTTCCCTTGGCAGTGCCGGTCTTCACGGTCACGGGGTGTGCATCAGGCGTCGATACCTTGCTAGAGTAATGCGTCGGACCGACGTTGATATTCGAGTCCGTCTTCACACGCGCGCTGTCGTACGAAGATGGGCGGCCCGCTTGAGCGCCGCCACGTCTGGGTTCGTGAGCCGGGAAGATGGGCAGGTCGGGGTGCAGCTCCGTGCTGTACATGATGATGTTGACGAGCTGCGCGTGGGGAACCCCAGAGAGATATGATCGTTTCTATGTTGCTGTTAGAGTTGTCGCACATATAACATCCATGGAAATAAAAAAAATACGACCAAATCAAACTCACCTGCTCGGCGCTCTTGGCCGCCCAACTCACACCCTTAAACCCATCAAGACTCTTCTTCCTCGCGAGATGCCTCTCCCGCTTCGCCAAGCACCCCCGACAGAACCACGAGCGCGCTTCGTTACTGACAAAATCGTCATCGATGTACGGGTCGTGACACATCTGGTGCCAGCAACAATTGCACCCGTCGCAGAAGACGATTTGGTTCGCGGCCAGACTCAGCCCCCGCGTGCACACCTTGCATAAGGCCTGCTCCGGCGTGCGCTTGCCGTAAGCCTTGCGCTTCTGAGCGGCGGCGGCAGCGTCGCGCGCGGATTGCGCAGTCGGGTTGTACTGCGACGGCTTTTGCACCTGGCGCCCCGACTTCGTCATTGTCATGACCGACTGCGCCTCCCTGGCGGATGCGGCGGTGATGGTACCGGAGCCTTCGCTCTCGGATAGTTCACTTAGGCTTGAGGTCCCGTCTTCGTCGTCGTCGTCTTTGCCGCGCTTGCGCTTTGTGCCGCGCTGCGCCTTGCTCTTGGGTTTTGGGGTTAATATCTTTTGTGCCTGAGTGGTCGATGGTGCTGACGACGACTTGGTCAAGGTTTGGGTTGGGGTTTTGGCCGGGGCCGGTGTGCGCAGCTGGAAGGCGTCGTTCATGGGCATGCGCATGGTGTTTGCCATTGAGGGTTTGTGTTTGGTCGAGGAGGAGGGTGATTGTTTAGGTGTGGGCATGGGCATAGGCATGGGCATGGTTAATGATGTGTTCATATTCATAACGAGACGTCTCTTAGCATCTTCATAGGTCGACTTTTCAATGCTCGTCTTGGCCACGGTAGATGACGCGGACGAAAGGGCCGACGATAGACTTCCCGGTTTGGAATTTATCCGCTTCAAGATCATCTGTGTCGCTGCCGAGAATTGCGGGATGTACGGAGGACGACCAGTGGAACTAGCTGTGCTTGGCGCCGGGCTTGATGCTTTGGGGGCTGAAATTTGCGTCGGTTGAGTAGGCGCTGCAGTTTCGACTGGCGTTGCGGGTGCATCGCCTTCATTCTCCTTGATAGCGGAGTCCGTGCTTTTTTCCTCCGTTGCCATAATGCAAGATTGTCAATTGGCTTGCCGATTAGAAGGGGTGATCATACAATTCTATGTGGTGCTTCGGACTGTGTTAGCGACGGTTGCGACGACGAAATTGACGATGAGTACCTACCATTAAGAGGCGACAATATATAGGTATCCGCGCACCTGGAAAAACGTCCGCTCGTAGACTTATATTCAATCCTCTGATCGTCTTACTAGAAGATGTAGAAGTTATCGAATTGAAGATGGAAAGTTGAAATTCATAGGTGGAGGCCGATGCACGTGATATTCACGTGATGGTGTGATTTCACGGATACTCCTGCCCAAACTATCAACTAATTTACGCTTCATAGCATTTCTGGAAATCTTGGCTTATGTACTTCTAGGCAACTCACGCACTGTCGAATACTAGGTGTTTTAAGGTTGAAATGATAAGATACCCACCTCCGATATCCTTCAAGATCCACCAGCCCCTATTCTCTATTTCACCACCATATTTCATCACCAAGTTTTTCCTCCTTAGTGACTGCGATCAGGTCAGATGGGGGGTGATATCTGAAAAGATGTAGTCCTCCTGTTTGAATCATATACTCTTTAAATTCCAAGGTTGATCGTCATGCTCATTCGAATTTTACCTTACAGCTCCTTTCTCTTTTAGTGCAGCTACCTCACCGTCTTCTAACCCGAGAAT